TTTCGTGCTCTAATAACTCTATGCAGTCTAAATGAAAAATTAGTACATCAGGTCTTAATTTTAGACTATGCGTGAAGGCTATAGCATAAGTGAGACCATTTGGTAAATGTTAAAGGATTTGACCAAAAAAAATCCCACTCTTCTATGGAACATGCTCTGGGTTTGAATTATGCTTCCATTAGTTAGTGTGACATAGGACAGTGACTTACTCATTCTAAGACTCATTTTTGTAGCTGGTAGAAACTTAATAATAATAATAAAACATCCTAATGTAGATACAAACCAAAATATCCTAAAGATTATTTTTTATTCTACTGCTTATCACAGAGTAGAGATTTAATGCATACATGTTAGACTTGGAATAGACAAAACAGAATTCCATCTTCATATTGCCGATTTTTTGTTACCTGCACATATTATTATACCACTCTACTTCCTAAATATTGGGAATCCTAATTAGAACTTTTGTATATTTGGGACTGAGAGTTAGGTGATTAATAGATAAAGCAATTAAAACTTTTAGTAATAAAAATTGTACACATATATCATAAACTAAAACATTTAAATAAACATTTATTCACCTGTATTTTCAGATTTGGCCAGGGCTTTTCCTAGAATCTGTTTGCTAACTAACATCTTATGTTGTCTTTCTTACAGAACCCCGATCTATGATGTATTGCCCACCCATTTCAATTTCGGTACTTAAAGACATTTATGAAACAAATGGATTGCTCTAGATATTTCCCCCTTTCTGTTACTCAGCTACTCTGAATTCTCAATAGATTTTTGTTTTTGCTTCTTTGTGGCTCATCTTTATCAAGTTACTCCCAAATCTTTTTCATAGAAAAATAATTTTTTCACACCTATATTTGTTGATTTACATAACATTTAATTGAATTACCTAAGGATAATTACAAGTATAGCATAAACAGATACATATGTACAGTTAGCATAAACAGATTCAGCAACATACAACTGACTTTTGTGAAGTACCAACTCCATGGTAAAAGCAGACAAAAGATGGCATATTAGAGGAGAAGGGTACTGGGGCATCAATTGATTTTACAGAGGGAGAAGAAGGCATGTGTGATTGTAAGAAGTGGAGACTGGAAAAGGTTTCCCCTGTAAAATAAACAGCAGTGCAAGAAGTGGGAAGGGAGTTAAAGCAAGACATTTGTTTCCAAGTCCATTAGCTAATTAAATGCCGTCAAGCCACAGAATCTTACAATGGTAGAGCTGGAAAAGGCTTTGGAGAACAACTAATCAACCCACTCACCACCATACTCTACTAACATTTGATAAATGAGGGAAAATGTTTGGGTTGAAATAGAAAATTCTTTAACCACTGTCCACCACTGACTTCAGGAAGATCAGGGTGGGGGAGGGGGAAGCACTAGTTGGAGGATCTCAGATTCCCTTCAAGCACAGGTGCTCTACACCAATGGATGGATGAAAAAATAGAGAAAAATCCCATTTAACTGTTCTTTAAAAGTCAAACATAAAACACCAAAAGCAGAAAACATAAAACCTTTCTACAGAAGGCACTTTGTGCTTCCGCAGACACACCTTTGCACCTTTCCTAGCTTTTGCAGATGTTCATCAGTAGTTGTGCATTTTACATGGAAATTTATTTTTGAACTCCTCTAAATACCACCAGCTGACAAAGGAGATCAGGCCAGTGTTAAGATGCTGTGCTCTCCTATGGCATGTTTTTCATTGCTTTTCCAAGAATTGCTGAAGAAAGTAAGAGACAGGACTGAGATGAAAAGCCCTATTGATCTTGCCTATCCTCTGTCCAGTAACTAGTTCCAGAAATTCTGTGCGGGAATTGGGGCTAACCAGAGATTGAGGCTTAACCATCCAGTTTTGGCCACACAGTTGTCTTTTTACCAAAGTGGAAATTTTTCAAATAAAACACAGAGGCCCAATAGAAGTTGCTAAAAACAAGTTATTTTGTAGTTCCTCAAGGCTTTCTGATTTTTAAAAATACATATGATAATCCCATGTAGTAGCCTTGGAGAAATTACCTTCACTAACATAATTGCCCTCTAATCCTTAAGTCAACCTTATTTATTAATTTCTCTGTGGATTCCTTTTACCTCAGATTCCCTGTATTTTGAAGAAATGGCAACTAATTTCCAAAGCATGGTTTCAGCAAACCAACAGTGTCATGTCCAATTGCCTAGAAAAATATAAATTGCATCAGCTTTCTTGGTCAGATCTTCTATTTGTGTGGCTCCTTCTACTGAGGAACACAAGCACTGTCTTGGGGGTGGGGGGTTCCCATCCCATCCTCATCCCATCTTGGTAAGGGAGAAAAGAGTCAGCTAATGAGTAAATGGGCACAACTCAACCATGTTGAAATGAGAAAACGGGAATGTTGGGGAGTCAGGCTGGAGGATAGTCTTTCAGGAAATTAAATGTGAACAGCAAGAGAAAAAAGGCATTTCTCCTTGTTTCCATGTGTCTTCAAGTTGCATCAGGAAAACTTCATTCCCTAGCACTGAAGATTTTAGAAATATTTAAGCCAAATCCACACATGGGGCCTTGAAAGAGGTAGCATAATACATTCAAATGACCAGGTAGCCACAAAGCTTTTTCTTCTTGCCTTATTTCCTTTAAAACATTGATCACTATTTGTAATTACTTATGTCTTCACTTCTTTGCCATCTGCCTCCTTGCTAGACTGTAAACTCCTAAAAGGCAAGAACCATCTTTGTTTTGTGCACCACTATATGCTGAGTACCTTCTACCATGCTGGTCCACAGCAGCTGATCAACAAATATGTGTTGAATGAAGAAATGGATTCCATATTTCTGAAAGATTCAGGGCAAACCAGAATTTCCACCACTGGCTCATTTCTTCTCTCTCCTAATGTCAATGTATTTCGGCCGAGTCAATAGAAAGCCCCCAGGGAAATTCAAGAACATTTTCCCCCAGAAACCCGCAGGTCATGAGGGTATCTTGAGAAGACCCCTGGAGCATCCCTGATTTTGCCCTGTATTTTACTTTTTGTTGGTTAGGAATCTTTTACATCACAGGACTCTGAAAATTACTCTTGGTTCAAAGGTCCATGGCCCGAGGTGAGATATTTTGTTCTTTTCTTCTGGTTTATCAGCTCACATTAGGTCCAATCAGCCCTGACGCTTGTCATGTTCCAGTAAGAAGTGAATGATACCAATTAGATTAAATGCCCGAATGCTTATGAAAAGGGCCATTCTTTACCTTTGTTACTCCTGATTCAAAAGGGAGTGCTGTTGGGGCGCCTGGGTGGCTTAGTCGGTTGAGCGTCCGACTTTCGCTTAGGTCATGATCTCGCGGTTCGTGGGTTCGAGCCCCGCATCGGGCTCAGTGCTGACTGCCAGCTCAGAGCCTGGAGCCTGTTTCAATCTGTGACTCCCTCTCTCTCTGACCCTCTCCTGCTCACGCTGTCTCTCTCTCTCTCCTAGAAATAAATAAAACATTTAAAAAAAAAAAAAAAAAAAAAGGGAGTGCTGTTTCCCTAGCTTGGCATGCTTTTCCCAGGTCAAGGGGCTTATGTGAGATTTCCTGTGTTCTGCAAAGGAGAGGAGTTTGGAAAAAATTATTGTATTTGGCCTGCCACCTCCCCAAAGCCTGAAAATAGTCAGTGTTGATCCCTGTACCATAAACAAACAATAAAAACCAAATAAGCCACGCCCTACACACAGACGACTCTGTTTCTTCTGAGCGTGTACTTTCTGTAATTAGTGTGAAGAACTACTTCAATGTTCTTTTGGAGACATTTTCAGATCTAGAATACAAGATAGAACGCCCCGTGGAAGCTTCCCTCCCAAGCAGTACTCTCACCCATAAAATTTTCTCTGTCCTGAACTAGACCTCTTCCTGACATGTACAGAAACTTCCAAAACCCTAGCTGCTCCCTGAGGTTTTTCCCAGTCAACCTGAAGATAAGTGGTCATTCAATTTTCTAGACAGTATTTAGCTTGGCAAGTCAAGACTAGGCCATATGATGTTCTGGAAGAAATATCAGCCTTAAAATTCTAGGAATCCTTCCAGTGAATTGTAGGCTCCATGAGGACAAGAGTTAGGTCTTACGTAACAGCATATTCCTGGTATATTCCTGGTAGGAATTCAGACCCTGGCTGCTGCATGATTGAATGAATGAATGAATGAATGAATGATCAGAATGACTGTTGATGTAATCTTCACACATCACCAACTCTATTTCACTATACATTCGGAATCTTGGAATGGGAAAACTGAAAGAGAGATAGCATCTAGTCCTAAATACAGCCATTATGACCTCCCCATTTAAATGTCATTAGTCACCCCACTTTCGCCTCCATGTTTCCGATCTCTTCGCCTTGCTCATTTGTTTTTTACAGCACTTGCCTTCTAACACATAATTTATCCGTAATTTGTTTTAGTCTCTTACTCACCCCCAAGAGCAGGAACTCCTGACTGTTTTGCTTACTGCTGGATTCTGGTTGCCCAGCACAGAGCTTGGCACATATTAAGGACTCAATAACTATTTGTGAAGTAAATAAATTAAAGAATCATTATTGAGGATGGACTCCACTGCAGGAATATTTTTAAGCCCCCTAATCCCAGCTTCACACCCATGGAATCTGAATGGGTAGTAGGGGTGTCAATCCCAAGAATCTGCATTTTTATCGGGGAATCTAGGAGATTCCGGCATAACTGTTTGAGAACCACTAATTCATCCAACTCACTAAACGAGACATAATCCTGAAGCCCAGGAAGATATAGCCTCCTGTCCCCTATGAGCCTGGGTTACTTTCTATAATGTGTGTTGCCAGTCCCATCTTGGTCTTTGAGATTAAGCTACTGGAGGCAAAAACTATGGCTTCAGAGCTTACTTCCTGAGGTGCGGCCCCATAGACAGGAAGATAGTGAAGATTCAGGTACTAAAGGACTTTTTGAGTCTACAGACGCCTTTGCACCGAAGAGCCACCTGTCTCCGTGCTAACATGCTGCTGTTTCCCTCTCTCCCCTAGTTCCTGGACATCTCCATTAAATGGACCACCCAGGAAACGTTTCCTCCAAAGTACCTTCACTATGACCCAGAAACCTCGCGTCAGCTGATGTGTGACAAATGTCCTCCGGGCACCTTCCTAAAACAGCACTGTACAGCCAGGCGGAAGACCGTGTGCGCCCCTTGTCCCAACCACTACTACACAGACAAGTGGCACACCAGTGATGAGTGTCTGTACTGCATCCCAGTGTGCAAGGAGCTGCAGTACGTCAAGCAGGAGTGCAGTCGCACCCACAACCGCGTGTGCGAGTGCGAGGAAGGGCGCTACCTCGAGGTTGAGTTCTGCCTGAAGCACAGAAGCTGTCCCCCCGGGTTTGGGGTGCTCCACGCCGGTAAGCACTGGCTTTCAGCACGCAGCAAAGTTAATGAGGTCGTACAAAGTCAGATAGCGGTGAAGGTTTAAGGGAACACTTTTGTCCCAATGATATTATAGGATAGCAAATTGCAAAGGTAATGGAAACTGCTAAGTACGTACTCTGTGTCTGGACTGCTGCCAAAGCTCCATTTCTCAGAGGAAGACTTTGCCACTACGGGGTGTGCCACTATGAGGTAATTTCGTGACAAATCTCAAATGTAGCAAATTGCTCTCTAATGAGATGTGTGATGGATTGCTCTTTTTAAAAGGGGACGCGCTGTGAGTTGCACTGTTTATAGCTGACATATATGCCCCTATGTTTCCCTTCAGCATGGGCAGCTTCAAACTGCCGTGCTTTTTGACAAACACCAGAAATGATAATTGATACCAAGAGAGTAATTAGACAGATATTAATGAGGCTCTGGAGTGCTTACAATGAGCAGTTATAATTAATTATGTAAAAAATGAGAATGGTTAGGGGAAATGCATTTCATCATTAAAAATGAAGCTAGTTCTTCCCTTGGCGTGGGAGTCAAGTGACTGTGAGGATAAAGACCAGCAGCATCTCCAAAATGAGCTTATTCTTTATTTTAGACAAAACAGATTGTCAAGCCAAGAGTAAGTACTTGTTTACAAACAAAGTACTTTCTCTTTTTGCATTTTGAACAGCGTAGGTTAAGGCCAGTGGGCGTTAAATCTTTGAAAGCTGCAACCCACATTTTTCCCTATCACATGCACAAAGCTTCCGAGGTAGTGGGTATTCTCGCGTGACTTGGGAAAATTAAGAATATTCACTTAATTTTCTGGAGGAAGTAGTAATCAGTATAGATTCTGATTACTCAGTTTGAGGCAGTGTTTCTCATCCTCAGCATTACTGACATTTGGGGCTGGAGAATTCTTTTGGTGGGCAGCTGTCCTGTGGATTAAAAAGTAGTTAGCAATATCCCTGGTCTCTACCCACTAGCTGCCAATAGCACTCTTCCCCCAGCTGTGATGCCCAAAAATGTCTCCAGACATTGCCAGTTGTACCCTGGATGTCAGAATCGTCTGAGGTTGAGATCCATTGGTTTAGAGGATGCTAATTATTTGTAATTTTTAAAAATATTTTTATTTATTTCTAGGAGAGAGAGAGAGAGAGAGACAGCATGAGCAGGGGTGGGCCAGAGAGAGAGGGAGACACAGACTCCGGAATAGGCTCCAGGCTCTGAGCTGGCAGCCAGCACAGAGCCCGACGCGGGGCTCGAACCCACGAACCGCGAGATCATGACCTAAGTGAAAGTCGGACGCTCAACCGACTAAGCCACCTAGGCGCCCCATTTGTAATTATTTTAACTTTCAGAAGTTGTGATACACACAGCCTAAATTATTGGATAGCAAATACATTAGGTTTAAAGACACACAAAGGAAACCTGCAAAAATTGAAATCTATTTCATTTCCTAAGTTGTGAACCACATACAAAGAATTACAGGAGGTGCACATTGAATGAATTTCTCTTAAAATGTCTCCAGCATGACTATTTGAGGGAGAAATTGGTGACATTTCCCAGCTTTTATTGGATGGTGCTTTCAGATTCAAAAGCTAAGCCAAACTGTAGGGAGTAAAACTCAACAAAAACAGATCCATTTAATTCAATTCAGTAAGTTGCATATGCAGGAAAATTAATTAAGCAGGTACTAAACAGTAGCTTGGAAACTAGAAAAGTTTGGGAAATAATGACAATATAAAGAAAGTTTTCTCACATAAGCGTGAAAATGTGTTTGTGGAATGAAGTAAGCGTGCCACCAGAAGACTTAGACAAAGAGACACATTTTATTCTGCTGGATCACCGTGGGGCTTATTTACCACGCCCTCCCTAAAAACCTTCAGGGCAGCTCTTCATGGAAAATAAGAGGTTTCCAGCCCAAAGAGAAGGAAGGACTATGTAGTGTTATTCCAAAAAGTATTAGCCATTCCGTGCTGTTGTTTTGAAGTCAGATCGTCTCCTCTCCATGTATTACTGACTTAATTCTGTCTGAGTTCTGTAATTCCTGTGTCATTCCTTATGGCTGGCATGATAGCATCCTCAACTGGAAAGCAGAGCTCCTCTCTCCATTCTGGTAGCTCTCATTTCACCTGTCAGATTATACCTTTTTATATTTCCACTGATATTAACAAGGCAACATCATTTACTCAGATGGACACATCTTTTTTCTTCCATAAAGTTCTAACAATGATAGAAGAGGGAAGTCCTGCTCAGAAAGGTCATTACATAAAGCTTCCAAATGTATTAAGAAACATTCACTTCCATTATTTTTGGATTCTGTTTGTTAAAGAACTTTACAGTGACATTACCTAAAAGAATGTCTTGCCTTTGACTTTCTCATTGGGATGCATGGCAAGACCTAAGCCCTCCATATGTATCTGAAGAATGACAAGATTCTTCTTCGTGCAGTTTGCTTTCCAGAACATGCGGCAGTTGGCAGAGGGAGACTTGGCTCCAGATGGCCAAGTCCACTGATTCCCAGTGTGTTAGCAATGAATGAATACTATGGAATTCTCACCCAAATACCTCTGTTTATGGTATTGTAGGAACTGGTGTGGAGCTGGGTCCCACTTAAGGGGAGAGGTGTAGTAAGAAAGTACTTGAAACAAAAAATTAGACTTCTGTGTAAGTTTTTTCTTAACATGATGTCACTGCAATGCTGGAAATGGCATGTGAAAATTTTAGGCTTGTAGTTTAACCTTTCTCTTTTTTCTTCTGCTAGCCCTTTGTCACTTTTACTGGTCAATTCATCATCATCAATCCTGTTAGAAGCAGCAGGAGCTAAAACTAGAGCCAAATCATTTTGCTCCTTCCTTCCTTTTTTATTTCTCTCTTTTTTCCCCTAACTTCCTTCTTCTCCTTCCTCTTTTCTTTCTTTTCTTTTTTCTTTTCTTCTCTTTTCTTTTCTTCTCTTTTCTTATTTCTTTTCCTTTTCTCTTTCTTTCTTTCTTTCTTTCTTTCTTTCTTTCTTTCTTTCTTTCTTCTTTCTTTCTTTCTTTCTTTCTTTCTTTCTTTCTTTCTTTCTTTCTTTCTTTCTTTCTATGTTTTGTTTATTTCTGAGAGAGGGAGAGAGACAGCATGAACAGGGGAGGGTCAGAGAGAGAGGGAGTCACAGACTGAAACAGGCTCCAGGCTCTGAGCTGGCTGTCAGCACAGAGCCCGACGCGGGGCTCGAATCCATGAACCGTGAGATCATGACCTGAGCTGAAGTCGGACGCTTAACCGACTGAGCCACCCAGGCGCCTCTCTCTCTCTCTCTCTCTCTCTCTCTCTCTCTCTCTCCCCCCCTCCTCTCCTCTCCTCTCCTCCCCTCTCCTCTCCTCTCCTCTCTGTCTTTCCCTCCCTCCCGTCCTTTCTCTGTTTCTCTTGCTCTCTTTCTTTCTCTCTTCTGGTTTTGATACCATGAGGTGGGAGGTTTGCATTTTTAATAAATGAAGTTTATTAACTTTCTGTAGCTTTCATGGTGTCCTTTTTGTATTTGTTATCTCCCCTGAGCCAGAATTGGCCTGGAAAAGCTACATTTGAATATTGAAGTCTGAATCTGTTCAACTGGCTTACACTAGATGGAGGTATTTTCATATGCAAATACACTGGAATGTATAATCTATCCACACATAATAGAGCCAAGGGATTGAAGGTATTAATCTTTAGTTGTTGACTGGTTCAAATTTTTCTAACCAGTGAGTTCTCCATACTTATCAAGTATCTTTCCACCATGAAATAAAATGCCCTTGCAATCACCCTTTCCTGAAATTTTAACGACTGTGCTCTTTTAAAGCTCGACAGTTTAAGCAAACAGTATATCATCTCGCATTTACTGTGTAGCTTAACTGCAGTCTTACGCTTTGGAGTCAGTGACCAACTTTATTGCCACCTTCAAAAGTTTGTTATAATGTTGTAAATTTTTACTTCTCAAGGTTAGCATACTTATGAGTTGCTTCACAATTAGGATTTGGGAAAGACAGAACTTCAGTAGGCATCGATTGGAATTTAACGATATGGCATTCAGTGGGTAGTGATCTCAAAGAATAACATTACAGCAGGTATGGAGCAGTTATCTTCTTGATTTTCCAGAAGAAATGGGTGAAGAATTATGGTTGACAACAAGACCTTACCGATGCTTCCCGCACAGGCGGGACAGATAAACACCCTTATTCTTCCTTTCCTCTCATCTCGTGTTTTGTAGGTAACAGCAAAACACATTTGTGTCTGAATGATAGGGATGGGAGACTGCCTGAAGGACTACTAACTGCAGAAGTTTTGTTCTTTCTGTCTAATGAAGGGAAAAATCAAAATGCCTCAAGTTCTGTGCAACATAATAGTAGCAGTAAAAACCAAGTGAAAAGTCTTTCCAAGGCTGTCTTTATTTAGAGGATGTCTGCTGTGAAAGTGCTTGGGAAAAAAGGTGCTAAATTGCTTGGTATTTTCTGTAGGAACCCCGGAGCGAAATACAGTTTGCAAGAGATGTGCAGATGGGTTCTTCTCGAATGAGACATCATCTAAAGCACCCTGTAGAAAACACACAAACTGCAGTGCATTTGGGCTCCTTCTAACTCAGAAAGGAAACGCAACTCATGACAATGTGTGTTCTGGAAACAGTGAATCGCCTCAAAAATGTGCAATAGGTAATTATATTTCACAATGTCAGCCTTTTCGTACCGCCTTTGAATTGAATACAAGACCCTCTGGCTACCTTCTTAGTGAAATTCCTGTTTTCCCATTCTTGAAGGTTAACCAGAGAAAACCATTCTCTGTTCTCTATGCGTCGCTGCTAACACTCCGAGTCAAAATCTCTCCAGAGGTCTCCCTGTGTCATGACTGTGCTCCCAAACTTGGCTTTCTGCCTTTCACACTTGAATCAAACCTTACCCATGGGGAAAGGGATGGTGTAAAGATTATGTCTAAGGCCAAACTAGTAGTCCAAATTGTAGAGGTTTTTTGGTAAGCTATGCGTTTTTATCACTTTTAAGAATAAAAATTGGCAACTAAGAAGCACTGTGACATAAACTGATAACAAATCAGAAAATACGAAACTGGCTTTATCATCAGTGGTATTACTGCCTGTATAGCACACAAGTTCTAAGTTCCTCTGGTTGTCCTAAACTCTGTATTCAGGAAGGGTCACTAGCTCCAAGTGCATTATGTGAATGCATCCCATGTTGGTGAAGACACTTGTCAGGATGGAGTCCTCACCTTTTCATTCCAACCACTAGACTAATCTCAGACCTTCTATCAAGGATGCATCACACCGAAGATGACCTGCCTTGTAGCACCTTGACTTTCCCCCAGCATCTTTTTATATGACATAGTAGAATAAGAAACATAGGAATGGGGCTGAGACAGTTAAGATTCCAACCCACTTCCAACATTTCTTCACCATGTAATCAGAATCTTAGACAAGTCATTCAGCCTTTTTGCTTTCTTCTTCAAACAGTGGAATGAGGGAAGGGGTAACAAGAGGAGTGACTTCTAACTTTAAAAAACCTCTTTTCTTTATTTAATTTATTTTTAATTACCTATTTTTGAAAGAGAGAGAGAGAGAGAGAGAGAACACATGCATACACATATGAGCAGGGGAGGGGTAGAGGGAGAGAGAGAGAATCTCAAGCAGGCTCCACGCTCAGTGCCGAGCCTGACACGAGGCTTAACTCCATGACCACGAAATCCTGACCCAAGCTGAAGTCACGAGTTGGACACTTAACCGACTGAGCCACCCAGGTGCCCCTAATTTTATTTTTATCATTTATTGAGCATTTACTATGTGCCAGGTACTTTTGCTACGTGAGCTTTACTCTTTACAAAAACACTGTGAAGTTTGCTCAGGTTCAGTACAGGTGGTGAAGTGACAGAGTCAGAATTCAAACCCAGGTCTGATGAATCCAAAGACAAACTCTTAACCCTGGGATAAATGGACTCTACCCAGACACTCAGGCCATTGTACCTCTTTTCTAAATGACATATTTTTTGTATTTTCTTATTTTTCCACATAAAATATGCTTCTACATCTATATCCCTCCTTATTCTTAAAGGTAAACTATGTGTTTATGTGTGTGCAGAAAACAATATATTACTCCAGATTGCTTTTCCAGGTCCTAGAAACACAGTACTTATATTTGTTTTGACACTGATTTGCAAGTAACCTGTGGATGCTAGCTAAACTTTTAATAGGATATTTAAGATCTACATTAAAATACGTTAATGTGGGGGCGCCTGGGTGGCTTAGTCGGTTAAGCGTCCGACTTTCGCTTAGGTCATGATCTCGCAGTTCGTGGGTTTGAGCCCCGCGTCGGGCTCTGTGCTGACTGCCAGCTCAGAGCCTGGAGCCTGTTTCAGTCTGTGACTCCCTCTCTCTCTGACCCTCCCCTGCTCACGCTGTCTCTCTCTCTCTCCTAGAAATAAATAAAACATTAAAAAAAAAAACGTTAATGTGTACACTGAGTCATAGAATTTTTGCTGCAATTCATTTACAGCAATATTTTTGTTAGACATTTGTTAAACTATCCCCCCCCTCAAATGCCCTAAGGACATAAGCCCATTTGGGTTGACAATCAGCCACCAAAGGGTTGATTTTATTCAAACTTCCCATTTTAACATACTGTACTTTGAAAACCCCTATGGTGTTGGCTTATTTATTTATTTATTTATATAGACTTCCAAGAATTCAGTTGTTAAGTAAATCTTCACGGTTTGCCCGCTTTTAGATGTCACCCTGTGCGAGGAGGCATTCTTCAGGTTTGCTGTTCCTACGAAATTCACCCCTAATTGGCTAAACATCCTGGTGGACAATTTGCCAGGCACCAGGGTAAACGCAGAGGCCATGGAGAGAATAAAGCGGCAACACAGTTCACAAGAACAAACCTTCCAGCTACTGAAGTTATGGAAACATCAAAACAAAGATCAAGATATAGTCAAGAAGATCTTCCAAGGTATGGTAACCTGAAACACACAGACTGATCAGAAATCAAAGACACTCATTTATCATAAACAAGAAGAAGACTATGTACCTATTTAGTTGTGTGGATGATATTTGCCTTTTAGAATTATTCTTGGACTAAAAATGTTTTGACTAATCGATCGTGTAGAAGTGATCCCTAAAACGGTCATGTAATGTTTTATTCTCACCTCCTCCACACCCCAACTTCTTTTTTTTTTTAAGCTTGTTTATTTTGAGAGAGTGGGAGTGAGTAAGAGCAGGGGCGGGGCAGAGAGAGAGCAAGAGAGAATCTCTTATTGACAGTGTAGAGCCTAATGTGGGGCTCAAACTCACAAAGTGCAAGATCGGGATCTGAGCCCAAGTGGAGTCAGAAGCTTAACAGACTGATCCACCCAGGCACCCCTTTTTCTTCATACCCCAACTTCTTTTTAAAGTGTGTGAACAGGGGCGCCTGGGTGGCTTAGTCGGTTAAGTGTCCAACTTTCACTTAGGTCATGATCTCGGGGTTCGTGGGTTCGAGCACCGCGTTGGGCTCTGTGCTGACTGCCAGCTCAGAACCTGGAGCCTGTTTCAGTCTGACTCCCTCTCTCTCTGACCCTCCCCTGCTCACGCTCTCTCTCTCTCCTAGAAATAAATAAAACATTAAAAAAAATAAAGTGTGTGAACACCCTAAAATGAAAGACAATCCATGTCAAATACTGGACCTCAGGAATTCCACTTCCATCTCCCTTAGCAGTTTTATTAGCATCCCCTCTGGTCTACCTGGATGTTCTTTAAACTCTTTGGATCTTATCTTTCATTTCCTCCAAGAAGCTATGTTGTATTTATTTGTTAATTCTCTCCCGAGAGCCTCCAAGTGTCTTACAGATGTCCTCTCATTAATCCTCACAACATAGCCTATTTTAAAATTACCATTTTAATAGCATATGCTGTGAGGATTAATGAGATGAGGTCTTTAAAATGTTCTGGCTTCTTAGAGAAAAGGGCTAGTTAAAACCAAGAGCTCTCATGTTTTAAAGTTTTATAAAGAATCTTTTAGAAACTGTGTGTGGGCACCTGGTTGTCTCAGTCAGTTAAGCGTCTAACTTCAGCTTGGGTCACGATCTCGCAGTTCATGAGTTTGAGCCCTGCACTGATGGTGCAAAGCCTGCTTGGGATTCTCTCTTTCTCCCTCTCTCTACCCCTTCCACACATACTCTCTCTTTCAATGAATAAAAAGAAGGAAGAAGGTTTTCATGACTCAGATGATGTCAGTGAGAAACCATCTGCTCTCTACCTGTTAGTAGTTAGATGACTATGGAGTCCTATGCTTCCCTAAAAGTCTCCACCATCTGAAACTGAGGCAACAGATTTTAGGACACTGAGATCTTTGACAGCTGAATGCTTTCACTTGAGCAAAGAGTAAAGTTTTCTTCTGTTTTTGGCAAACAGAATATATTCTTTGAAAGTGTAATTAGCCCCGAAGCAGGAAAAAAAGGGGGTGGGTGGGTGAGTGAGTGGGATAGAGAATCAGAGACTGTTAGAATTGGAAGCAGCCAAATTCTCTATTTTATAAATAAGGACATTCCAGCCCAAAAAGATGAACTGACTTGCCTTAGGGCTCACAGACAGTAAATGACTCATGTCATAACATTAATGGAAATGTTAGATACTCCGTCTTATGTTTATGTCCTAGATCATTACTGAAACATTCTCTAGGCCATATGGATCCTATCATTCTTTTTCCTCATATTAGTGGGTTTTCAGATCTTCTTCTGGTAGTAACCCTCCGGTGCTATTTATTAAAGACCATTTGTCACACCTAACTCTTCAAATACGGTATATATCAGATATCAACTAATGAAAGTTTATATTACAAAATGGCTAACTTGAATACTTATATTTCTACTTTTCTGAAATGGTATGGTTTTAATTTTTCTAAGTTTTCTTAGAAAATAGAGTGATGTGTTTATAGTATTTTACTGTTCATTTCCAAAATTAGGGCTTTTCACAAAGCTTTGTTGGATACCTAGAATACATAAAGCATATTATCATTTATAACAAGAAATAAAATTCAATTCAGTTCTCAAAAATAACTAGCATCACTTAGCCCTCCCCATGTCCCCCCCCCATTAAAAAAGAAGGAGAAGGTTATCCTTAAAATAAGTTGATGAAATTCTGGGAGAACCTCCTTTTGCCTCACAGTAGTTTTGTGGCGGTGGCTTTAGAATATACATTATGTGAACCTCTCTTTGGGCTTTTGCTTTAAGCAGATATCGACCTATGTGAAAACAGCGTACAGCGGCACATTGGACACACAAACCTTACCTTCGAGCAGCTTCGCAGCTTGATGGAAAGCTTGCCGGGGAAGAAAGTCACCACAGAAGACATTGAGAAAACTGTGAAGGTATGCAAATCAAGTGAACAGATTCTGAAGCTGCTCAGCCTGTGGAGAATAAAAAATGGCGACCAAGACACTCTTAAGGCCCTGATGCATGCCCTGAAGCACTTGAAAACATACCACTTCCCCAAAACCGTCACTCAGAGCCTGAAGAAGACCATCAGGTTCCTTCACAGCTTCACCATGTACAGATTATATCAGAAGCTATTTTTGGAAATGATAGGGAACCAGGTCCAGTCAGTAAAAATAAGCTGCTTATAACCGGAAATGGTCACTGGGCTATTTCCTCACAATAGACGGGATCCAATGAATGAGTAAACTGTTTCTCAGGCACTTGACGGGGATACAATGATTTCTTTCTCATCACCAAGGACTAGATTTGGCCACAGGGCACAAAAAGAAACAATGGTGTGGAAAAAGAACTAACATCTCCTCCAAAAGTTCAATTAACCCCATATGGTTTATCTAACTGATAGATCTGGTCCAGTATCTACTGACTATATTTTCCCTTATTACTGCTTGCAGTAATTCAACTGGAAATAAGAAACTAGATTCCATTGTGCCATACTAAATATGGGAATGTCTAACTTAAATAGCTTTGAGATTTCAGCTGTGCTAGAGGCTTTTATTAGAAAGCCATATTTTTTTTTCTGTAAAAGTTACTAATATATCTGTAACACTATTACAGTATTTCTATTTATATTCATTCAGATATAAGGTTTGTACATATTATAATCCTAAGGGGAAATTGTGTAAGACAATTTTAGAAAGGAAAATATATATTCTGTTTATTATTATGACAAATGAGAGATAAAGTATATTTTTTAATGGGAAGTTTATAGCATTTCTTAATAGGTACTGCAATTCTTCCTATGTGGAGTATTTTTGTAATATACTTTTACCTGTATAAGTTGTAATATCATTTTTTAGAAAATGCATTACTTAGTCAATTGTTTAATGTTGGAAAGTATATGAAATATAAATTATCTGAATATTAGATGCTCTGAGAAACTGAATGTACCTTATTTAAAAGATTTTATGTTTTTACTATATAAACAATATCATTAAAGTTTTCAAGTTATTTTTCATCACTTTTCCTCTCGCTTTTATTTGAATCAGATATTAAAGGGTCTGAGCTTTCATAATTTTTCCTGTTCTTTTATCATTGGGACCACATGAGAATTGTTACAAATGCAGATTCCTGGGCCAATATATGGAGAAACTGGGGTGGCAGGTATAAACTTGCACCTTCAGTAAGTTCCAAAGTGACACTTACTACATTGAAACTGGAGAATCTCTGAAATCCAGCTTCGTATACAGGTGGTACAAACCACTTGCAACGGTCACGGCTAGCATCGAAAGACTCTAAGGTTTTTTGGTTGCAAGTAAGGGAAACAGACATTACTTAGTTTGAGGAAATAATCGGAAGAGTGGGGTATTGGGTCGAATGATGGTGTGCCCCCAAAATACAGTCACATCATAACCCCCAAAACTTACTTAGAAAAAAGGTCTTTGTGGAGGTAATTAAGGATCTTGAGATGAGGAAATCATCCTGATGGGCCCTAAATCCAATGGCAGGTGTCTCTCTGAGACACACACAAAGGGGAAAGACAACAGGAGAAGATGATGTGCAGACAAAGGCAGAGACGAGAATGATGGAGCCATAAACCCAGGAACCTACAGAAGGCAAGGAAGAAATTCTCCCCTAGAGCCTCCATAGTGAGTACAGTACTGCTGACAACTTGATTTTGGACTTCCGGCCTCCAGAAGTATAAAAGAATTATTGTTAATGTCTATTAAGGAAAGAAAAGTTTTTAGCCACTCAGTGCATGGTAATTTACCACAACAACTACAGAAAATTAATATGGGTTATATCCAAGCCACAGAGAAATAACAGAATTAAAATAACTCAGGGACCCTTGGGGGCAGAAGTTCCTACACTTTCTACTAGTCTTTCATTTCTGTATCTTTCAGCTCAAAATTTCAAACTCCCCGGAATAGAGACTCTGGTTCCTCTAGATTAGCATTGGTGTAGAGGCATGGCCAGTGACCATCTGTCTTTTCAGTTGCAATTCCCAAGAAGGGGGCATTGTTGTGAACAGGGTCTATTCCGTCCCATCATTTTGCAGGCTATAAATGTATGACTATGACTTAGAGTGTGGCATTGGCACTGCTCAGTCCTACCTTTGTGAAATCACATCCATTATGGCCACTTTGACAGAAGGACAGATCTATGTGAACACCACACAAACTCAAAAGCAGAGGCAAAGTCAAGAGGCTCAAAACCTGGAGAATCAGAACCCCACCATCGCAATACTTGAAGTGGAAAAAATTGTGGGAATTAAGTGCTGAAGGTTTAAGCAGCAGAACAGTAGTTAACAAGGAACCTGCATTTCCCCTCCAGAAGCTCCAGTTCTTCTGCCAGAGTTCCTATTTACAGAAAATGAAATGGCCCACTGGCACCAGCTAGGTTTAAGAAACATTGGAAAGTTAATGGCATCAAGCATAAATCACTGAAATGCTAATTTGATTGGCTTCCCTCATTGCTACTTTGGTTCACTCTACCTCAACCTTATCCTTGAAGGGAGATATGGTATATGACTTCACGTCTGTTTCTCTCTTTTTTTTTTTCACTTTCAATTTTAAAACAACTTTAGACTGACAGAATCACTGAAAGGATGATGTGAAGTATTCCTAGTGAGCTATTTTGTAAAATGTGTCTCAGTATCAGTCTTTCTGATGTTTTCTCACGAGTAGACCAATGTTACGGATCTGGGGGGAGAATATCGCGTAGTTAATGGCACTTCTCACATTGTATCAGGGCCAATGATATTAGCATGACTAATTACTGTTAACATTTACCTTTATAACTGAGTTAATTTCTATATATGATGTGAGATATGTATCGAAGCCCCTCCCCCCCTTATTTACACATGGTTTGGGTTGTTTCAACATGATTTATTGAAAAGACTAGCATTTTGCCATTCAATTGCCTTTGCATCTTTGCTAAAAATCAGTTGATGACATTTGTGTGGGTCTATTTCTGGATTCTCTATTCTGTTCCATTTATCTGTAAATCTGTCCTTTCACCAACATCACTCTGTCTTAATTACTTGCAATTTATAGTAGAGCTGAAGATTATTTCTGATGATTACTCTGTCACGTGATAGTATACTGGCTTTTTCTGGCTTTTTTGTATGTCTCATTTTTTTTTTTTTTATTAAAAGCCACATATGTTGAGTAGGTCAGTAGAAATCAGGGTAAAGAGTTTATATTCCTGGATATGGGCATGCCTTTCCTTCTGCTAGAATTATAATGGAAGGCTTTGCATTAATCCAATTAGTAATTCACCGATTTTGTCCATTTCTTTCTCTTCCTTTCTTCTTCTCTCCTCTTCCTTTCTTTCTTTCTCTTTCTTTTTGCAATGGTTATACTCAGTGCCTCAGAGGTCTCAAATTCCAATAGTTTGTTTCTGTGGTGATGTATATCAGAGCAATGCTTGTTTGAGTTTTAGATCTTCCCCTTGAGCTGTTCATCAAAAATCTTCTGCCTGAAAACAAACAAACAAACAAACAAACAAAATGGGGCACCTGGGTGGCTTGGTCAGTTGAACGTCTGACTTCAGCTCAGGTCATGATCTCACAGTTTGTGGGTTGGAGCACTGCGATGGGCTTGCTGCTCTCAGCTCAGAGCTTGCTAAAGATCCCATGTCTTGTTCTCTCTCTGCCTCTGTCCCACTCACACTATCTTTTTAAAAAATAAACATTAAAAATAAAAGTTTCTGTCTGCACATTCTTACTCCTCTCTTATCCCTTGTCTAGCAGCATTTTGCTGTTATTTGTCATTTGAAGTCCACCGGTTGTGGGTTGCACTTAATTCTGCCCATTGCCCCAAGAATAGACTTTATTTGCATCCTGCTCCCTTTCGTCAGCTGTAATGAGCGGGCAGGACCATCATTCCAGAACCAGCTGGTTTTCCTTTCCCCCTGCCACACTGATGTTTTCATTTGTCTGGGTGAGGGGTCTTACTTCACCCTATAGGGCTAGTTCCCCTCCCTCCAGAATCTTATGGTTCATTCTAATCTATTCTGTGAGTGCTCAATGGAGTTCTTGGAGAAGGAGCCTGCAAAAATGTTGAAGTAGGTTATCACGTGGATGTGATCACTGGTTGACCTGAGAGCTGAACAGAAGACAACTGGAGACTCATCACCTAGACCCTCTCCTTGGAACATACATTCTTCCCACCATTCCTACACTGGGAGACATTTCTAGGGTGTAGCCCAGGAGAGAAATGGGTTATTGGGACCATCGGGACTGAATACATGATGGATCCCCCATTAATGCCTCTATAGAAATGTTAAGAATCTGGTGGGCAAGTGTAGAGATTTACATATTTTGCAGCTACCCAAGACAAGCCTTGTATGTAATTCTCTTACTAATTAGGACTGACACCTACTACTTAGAGTGGTCTGTGTCTTTCTTCACTCTCCCCTTGCTCTCCATGTATGGGGACCAATTTCAGATTTCCCCCGAGAAGCTTGCAAGGTTGCAAAGCAACAAAAAGGGCAAATACTCTTCCAATTTCTGCAGCACCCAGTTCTACACTATTCCACCAGCCCACACATAGCCTTCACCAACTTCCAAGCTCTCTTAGCTGAGCTCTTCCTATTCACGTACAGTTTCATCTACCCTCGAAGAGAGGCACAAATTTGTAGGCTCTCTCTCCCTGGAATCACTATCTCTTTTTAGATTTTGGGCCATATTTGTTTTATGACCTCAGGTCTCTCATGATTGGCTAGCTTGTTTGTTTTAAGACTATTTTTTAAGAGAAGTCTGGGATTCACAGGAGAATTGAGAGGAAGGTACAGAGATTCCCTACATCCTTCCTGGTCCCGCACATGCACAGCCTCCCTTACTATCAATACCCCCTGCTGAAGAACCTACACTGACACATCATTATCATCTGAAGTCCACAGTTTACATTAGGGTTCATTCTTGGTGTTATGCAGCCAATGTTTTTTTTTTTATTTTCTTTTAAGTCATGAAAGTGAATTTAGTTGCTTTTTGTTTGTTTGCTTGTTTGCTTGTCATAAGTTTGAGAACATCACCAATTCCAGCTCTTTGCATCCTTCCCAAGAGGATGCTAGAACTGGTCAATTCTGTCATTTAAAAATTTGATGTGACAGTTTGGGTGGGAGTTTAAACTACCCTCATGAGTCCAAACACACTGTGTCCCCTTGTTCATCCAGAAACCTACACAAGCTGTGAAATATTTTTGATGGATTAGTATTATGGACTAAAGGATATAGACCAAGAAATAATTTGAAAATACTTATTCTAGACTGGTCATGTAAAATATTCATAAGTTTTTACTTATGAACCATGAATCTGTTCCACTTATTTTATTAAGCATCTTATCCAATAGACTATCTTCAGTATTTTATTCATATGTTGAAAATCCAATTTGTTAATTCATTGAAAATAATATTTGACTGCCAAATTATAGTACTCAGTACAGTGCACTTTATACTCAGTTCTAAGCAAGAGATACAGTGGTAAGCCATCATTACTCCCAGGAGCATAGTTTTGAGTTATTTTAATTTGCTATTTGTGAGACCATCCCTGTCAAACACAAAGGTGTTTATATACTCAGGTGTAGAAATTGGTGTAAGAGAAAAGGAAAGCTTTGAGAACAGAAAACTCTATGTTCTTCTTTGCCAATGCAGAGACTGATAGCCTTGGAAGTAGCTTCTTTTCGAATTATTTTGTACCTCTGAAGATGTTTCCTAACTGATACCCAAACTCAACCTAAGGGTTAAACTTTTATTATTATCTTCCCTTGATTAAAGCTCAAAAACAGAGGCTGCTACCAGTTCAATTAGTGTCATGATGACCATTGATATTGAATAATACCATATGCTCTAATTCTTTGACTTTCTTGCTGTTATTTTCCAAATTTCTCTCTCTTCACACCTAGGAAACTATAAAACAGGGATTTAATAGTAATAATAACCAGCAGCATTTATTTCTGCAGGTGAGTTTAAATACATCTTCCTGAAGATGGTTACAAGAGAGTTGGAGGGACAAGATATACACATGGCAGAGTGATTGCTAATACCAGACAATATATACTTAGTACCAATTGAATTGCATAAACATAGCACATTCATCAAATGTCATCTCTGAAGCCCAGGGTAGGCCAAGAAGCAGTAACTTCAGCTAGGTTTTGTGGTCACGTCTAGGCAGAGAGAAGGAAGTGGGATATAGACATAAGGAATAGTATTGGAAAAGCCATAGTGGCTAAAATGTACATAACATGTTGAGGAAACATTGTCTAGACTCATGTAGTTTATATAAAAGTTTAAAGAGTAGAATAAAATAAGCTTGAAGAAGTTTATTATAGCACACTGTGGGTTGTAAAACTAACTGCTTTATCTACCCAGAACTCTTTGGTTTAGTCTGGTCAGCACCTCCTTCTTTTAGGGAATTGCTCTCTCTCACCCCCAACCCCCAACTCAACCACATAATTCCAGTGGGGTCTGACAATAACAGCCTCTCTTTCTATGCACCCAACTCTTCCCATTGCTACACCAGGGCATTTAGTGAAAGACCTTCATTAGGATGTCTGCACATTTGGAATTACTTAAAGACAATTTTTTTCCTGTCCAATGAAAATCCATAAAAGTGTGAGCCTAAGCTGCCAGAGGCACAGAGAAAGAGAGCTATCAGAGAGAACTAGGGAAAAGAGACAAGCAAAGAATCCTGATGATGTTCAAGCCCTTGGTTCTAGCCACATCTTTTCTTCCTGTTATTTAGTTTCATGGACCAATGACCTTCCCTTTCACCCAAGTCAGTTCCTGTAATTCATAAACAAGAGTCCTGATTAATATAGAGAGTAAATAAGATGTACTTGCTTGCCAGACAAAGTTGTTTGGATTTGAAGAGCTAACTGAAATGGCTGTGAGGTTCTATCCTTCTGAGAATCTTTTATTTCATAAAATTTGCTTATAAACATAGTAGGAACCATTGAAGTTTTAGGAAAGATATTGATGTTTGTAAGGCAGAATTTCAAGAAGATTACTGTGGCAGAAGCATATAGAATGGATTAGAGCAGAAATAGTTTAGAGACTATTAAACCAGAAGAGCTGACCATTAGAACAGTTCAGCCATGAGGTAAATAGGCAACTCAGACTGCAGGTGGGAGCCCAGAGTGGAAAGGAAAGGTCACAGTAAAGAACGATTAATCTTTCCAGGACAGTCATCAGAGGAGAAGCACCATCACTGGGCATTTGGTTATGACTAATGGATTGAGATTCCTGTCTTTTTCCAAATATTAAATACAAAATAAGTCTCCCATTTCCTTGGGTTTTCTTGAGTCTTTTCCCAGGGAAATCCACCTCATCTTTTGAGACACAAAAGCTTAAGTCATATTTCCACAAAAATCCTTCTAACTAAAACAAAGACGTCTTCCAAATTGACATTTCAATAGCAATTTTGGTTTTTCATGACTCACTGACTTCAGACAAGAGGAGGTAAACAGGACAGATCATGCATAAAACCTGTGTCCTTCTCATGGAATCACAGGTTTCTGAGAGACAACACGAGGTCATCTGTTTATCTCTCCTACCTTCTCCAGCCATTCCTAAACCCTCCTGGAGAGTGATGACCTTGGATTTAAGCATTTTTAAAGCATCTTGTTGCTATAGTGATTTCCCTCCAACACACACATGTACACACACACAGCAGACATACATGCGCATGCACACACATACACACATGCCCACACAGGTACACACACACACATGTACACACACAGAGCCAATGGAACCTAATTTCAGGACTTAATAGCTCTCACTCTGACATTGAGATTGGGCAAAAATGTTATCTTTAATAGAAACTCCTACTTTCTTGGGATTTTGGAGTAGGTGGCCTTTATAGATTGTTCCATCCTAGTGTTTATCAACCTGACCGAATCAGAAGCATCACTTGGGATATTTGTTCAAAATATACATTCTCTAGCATCCTACCAGGATGAATTTTGAGTCACGGTAAGGACTGGAGTGCTAGAGTTCTTATTGGGCAATTGTGGGAAATATTGTTGTATCTAATCCTTAAGGATCCAAATGAGGCTGCAAGAAATTAAATTGCACCACTGCTGTCCAAACTCAGAGCCCCTCAGTCCTATCAAGATTCTTGTTTAACTTTGTGCTTGTCTTAATGAAAATGGGGGACCACCAGCATCCTCTTGGGGGTGTGTTTAATTCCACTGCGCATGTAACTGTCATTGCACTTAATGCCTGACAGTTTAACTGTCTCCCTTGATGCTGATGTTATGGCATTACTATCAACAGCAATAATAATAATCTCTACAGTCTAGGAAGTGCTTTCCTGTGAGATCTAGGTCCATTTTGGTTCTGAGAAAACAATGTTTTATAAAGGCAAAAGCTAGGAAGTTGCTGATTCATCTTATTTGCCATTGTTTGTACATTGACCCTGGTACTCACTATAAATGCCCTTTATTGAGAAGTTGTAAGGAACAAAGCCCTATACT